GTACAAACAACAACAAACAACAAACAACTCTACACGTTCGTCAACAACAACAAACATCTCTACACGTTCGTCAACAACAACACTCACTATGTGTGTGTGGCCTTAAAATGAAAAAAACATATAACAGGTGACGTGTCAAGCAACGGTCCTACATCATAGCACATTAAGTAGGGCAATTGTGCTTTGAAGAAGGGCAATTTCCCGAAACGTCGTCCACAATTGTATATATGTTTTTACTTTCCACGCCACAGTGTCATTGATGGATGTGTTGAACTCCCTGTTGTCAGTGGCTCTGTACGAGACACGCGATCTAACCCAACCACCTTTATCAAGCATTGATTGAACGTCGTTTCGATATTCGTTGTCGCACCGTTTAGGAACGCATCCCCGACGTAAACCGAGGTATCACTGTAGCTCTGTGGGTTTTACCTGGTATGGCTAATACAAGCACAACGATGATCCCAGTTGGAGTTGACCGTGATGTTATTTCACTGAGCAGAGAAATCAGTCGCCACTAGGTGGTGGTAAGTTTCCGTCATCGTTACAGAGTCACAACCCGTGCCATGGTCTCCCTTCACCCTCGATCCTTCATCATCATCGTCGTCTCTCCATGCTGAACGAGCAAACGATCCACTTCACCTTATCTGTCCCTCCACGTAAAAAAAAAACCGAAAATATGTTTTACCCATCCCATCATCCCGGCATCTTTGGTTCAACACCATCGAACTGAGACGGTGATCACCGCATCGCGTGATGCTTTCAGATGCGCTTCTGCGGCCGTCTGGAATGCTCTTCCTTCCAAAATTAGGAAGCCGCTGGAACTATGCACTTTTTAATTCATCTACATTGGAAACTCATTTCTTATTATATTTTTGTGTTTAATTTGTTGTCCTTCCGCACACCTCCGATTAACACCATGGTGAACTGGACTTCAATGGTAAACAGGACTTACATAGTGAACTGGACTTCCATGGTAAACTGGACTTCCATAATTCTAGATTTGAAGCTTTCGTGACTGCAAAGATTCATATTCTTAGGTTTTTTTCGGTTAAGTCACGTAAGTAAAACATCAAAATAAAAATAAAAATAAAATGAAAATAAAAATCACGACGTTTCGGAGGCAACACAAGTCTCCGTCATCAGGTGGGACCGTCACAGCCGAATTAGCTGCATCAAGTGATTTTTTTGTCATTTTATTTTTATTTTGATGTTTTACTTACGTGACTTAACCGAAAAAACCTAAGAATATGGACTTCCATAGTGAACTGGACTTCCATGGTCAACTGGACTTCCATGGTGAACTGGACATCCATGGTAAACTGGGCTTCCATGGTAAACTGGACTTCCATGGTGAACTGGACTTCCATGGTATACTGGACTTCCAGAGTAAACTGGACTTCCATGGTCAAAGGTCGGCAGCCAAAATAACAAGAAGAGACATTTTTGTCGACTTTCAAAAGCACGCGTTCGTGGCACGGCTGACATTAGTGCTTTCACGATCTGTCCAGCCAGGGCCGCCCAGAGGTATCCAGAGGCTCCTGGCAGAACGATGTCACGTCAGCTCCTCATTCATAAGCTCCAAGATAAAGTAGGGCCGTGGGGCGGCACTGAGTAGGTGCATGTATGTACGACGTGTTGAACGCTCCAAACAACAATGTACTGTACAAAAATTCTTAGCATGTTTCTCTTAAGCAGAAATCTGGAGGCTTGGGCCACCTTTCACGTTGTGCCAACGCACCGATGCTGCCAAATCGTTCGTTTTGTGGATTTATTTTGGTGATTTCGAAAGAGTGTATTGGTTTAGCCATGTTTGTTTGTTGTAGTGCAGAGTTAGACTGATGGCCGTAATCTAAGTTGTCTTGTGGTTGTTGTTGGTTGTTTGACTTGCATCCCACTGGGATTTTTGCACACAGCGTTGGTGTACGGTGTTTTTTCTGCAATATTTTGCTGTCTTTTCTTGGCTTTTCTGTTTGCACTCAGTCACATAGTCACTTTAAGATGTTTTTTTGTTCATGTTTTTTTTTGTTGCGGTTGCACCCGATTCAAGAGCCGAATGGCTCACAAGGCAATACCCAATAAATGAACTTGAAACTTGAACTTGAACGAACTCCGAAGGGAAACCGAGTGAGTCGGAGTCCTCTCCCGGCCTGCAATTCCTGCTCCATGTGCATGTATGTCATAATATTTATTTACACTCGAGAAATCCGATGAGTTTTGGCATTTTCTTTTTCACACATGTCCACTTGTTTTCACAGATGAACTTCTTTCGCACCGTACGTAACCAACCGTGCTAATAAGAATATTTTGTACCCTTTCTGGCAATAAAGCAGGTGCTGAGATGTTCAAACACCAAATAGAAACCTTATTTTTTCATACTTTGATACTGGCAAAAAATGTCCCATTTTGTAGCTGAACACACAAAGCACTCCTAAATTTTTTTAATATTGTTTGGTCAGTGACATCACTGGCCAAAACAACAAAAGTGCCCTGTTGATTTTTTTGCGTGTCTAACCAAAACTGGTAGTCCACCCTCGATTGTACAGGAGTAACAGGGTGGTCCCGATACATGAAACACACGGATTACGCGAAACAGCGCACGGTCACTCGACTGTCCCACGCAGTGGTGTGTTGTGTCCGGTCCATCTACTCACTCTCACCCGCAAAGACAAAGATCCTCCGTGTAGCCTTTGGGGCCGTCCAAAATTGACGTGACGCACCTAGGGGGGGGGGGGGGGGGGTGGTCAGACATTTGTGACGATGTGTGACGATGGGGGGGGGGGTGTTTGAGAAACGTGACGTCACATCAAAATGCACAACTTTAAATAAATATAGACAACACGTTTTACTTAATTAAATCGACTTTTTAAAAATAAATGTTTTCTCCTACAACATCAGAGTGCAGCGCCACATTAAATACGCACTACAATGATAATAGTTTAAAGCGATTTGAAGCATGTTGGGGCAAGTGCTGTTAGCGAGTAGCACCTACGATGGCCGGCACGGCACGCGAGCGAGTGGGTGGCCAGCACCACGCCCGGCCGCCTTTGTCTCCTCAGTGGCGATGTTTACACACCGCACCAGGTTTGAGGCTGCGTCGACCTAGGGGAGGCTCGCTCACCCACTCATCCACGAACTCACCCACCGACCCATTCACTCACCTACCAGTTACTGTTTCACACACTCATGCACCCATCCACTCACCCACTCAATAACCTATTCACTCGCCTACCAGTTACTGTTTCACACACTCATGCACCCATCCACTCACCCACTCAATAACCTATTCACTCGCCCACCTATCCACTCATCCACCCACCTACCCACCCACCCACGTTTGCAGTGTACGGACCATGTACATGGAACTCACTGCTGGTAACTGAGATCTGTCGCGTTAATATTATTTCTAAGTATTACTTTACCTGTTCACACAGGTGAGCCTCAAATATCTTTTTGAGGAGGATCCTGGGGCCTGTTTCCAATTGCGCGAGACCAATTGAGTCGTAATTATCTATGAGGGGACACCGGAAATCCGAAATAGCTCCGTGTAGAACAGGAGGAGAATATACAAACTCCACACGGAGAGAGGCACCTGATTCGGGCATCAAACTCGGCCCCTCGTTGCTGTGAAACACAAGCGTCACCACCACCAGAGTCTGTTCAATCAGCCAGATCTTAAATTCACTTTTTGTTTTACCAGGTAAGGTCCCACTGAGCTGTCGAGCTCATTTTCAGAAGCGAGCTGGCCACAAATGATAGCTCAACGAAGTGGCTAATCACGTTGAAATGTATAGCAGCCAAATACTCTAAACGCACGTTGATTCTAAATGTGGAGGGGGGAACAGCGGAGGACCTGGAGAAAAATCCTCGTGACCACGGGGACAGAGACACGCAAACTCTAAATATACAGCAGGCGTCAGGGTCGGGATCAAACCCACAACATCCTCCATACCGGGCGAGGTAGTTAACATCTCGCAACCTGCAGCCGATTGGCAGCAGACTCAAGGCAGGAACTTTGTGTGTTTAGTTTACAGTTCATGTGGGCACACGGTCAGACTTTAGAGTCGGGGTCACGCAAGGGTCAAGGGACCATACCCAGAGGAATGATTAAACGAGAGCGCTGGCAATGGAAGGCGGGAAAGCGAGGATAAGAGGACACTGGGGAGAAAACCCCCAACAAGATACAGGTACACCTCGCTTAGCGCTTAAGATGTGTTCCTGGAGAAAAGAGCGCTAATGGAATCAGCACTAAAAGGGGTCATTGCACCATTGTACGTATGCGTTCCCAACAGCGTAATTTTTTTTCCGTATCAGCAATATATGAAGACTTCATTGTACACATTGGCTGGTAAATGAGATGAGAGGAGAGAGATTGTTTATAGGGAGAGAGGTGTGAGACAAGGGCTCGGAGCTCTGGGGAGGGGGGAAATCCTGAAGTCAACAGCAGTGTTTGTGCCCTACAAGTGTTCCTGTTGGTGTTGAACGGAACAATAAAGGTCCCCTAGGAGGACGACTCGTGTGGTGGACGAGGCATACAGCCACTGCACGTGCACGAAAGACTCCGTGCTGTGCGAACAGCGCAAACAGCAAATGCATTCTCACTACCATTATTTGCGATTTTCGATAAGATGCTCTGTGGCTACGCAGAATGAGGTTGAAGATGTAGAATGCGTCGTCTGATTATGTTTTTTTAATTGTTTCTTACAATTATCGGTTTACCTGCCGCCCTGTGTGCGGTCAAATGAGCACTGAATAGCTGCATAAAATTTGCAGCCTGATGCTCCCTCCCTCCAGGCAGCCAGCCAGGGAGCAAAACTTTTTACAACATAGTTATATGATAGCGTTTCCCGCACAAGGTGCATGGCGTGTGTGTATATGTAGGGGAGCTGTGTCGTCAACGTGACGTCATCACGCAGGTGTGCGCGGTGACGTCACCACACTCGCCCGGGTGTGAAGGTAGACAAATACAGACAGACGGATTCCACGAGAGTAGAGTACAAGGATTGGTGCCCACTAAAGACTTTTATTTCGTTTTCTTTTCGCGCAAACACGGTTATTCCACCGCCTGGACATTGTTTTTCACGGACAATCGAGTGCAACTGTAATCAGTCTCACTTGTAGCCACATACCTGGCCAGAAACCCCACGCAACAGGCATTAGGGCACTCATATAAAAACTAAACCGGGACACGTGTTTGGCAGTGACATGAGTTATTATCAAGGACAGTTATTTTTGGAAAGGTGCGAGCGGAAGCTTGCCGCTTCAAATACTGGCTGGTGCGGCGTTGAACTCGGCCCATCATCCCTCTGGGGGTCGGTAAAATAGGTACTGCTTCGTGGGGGAATCAACAGTGGTTGTTCTATGGAGAGACTCCGCACCTACGATTAGCACGGTTGGCTACGTATGGTACGAAAGAAGTTCCACGTACATACTCGTCCCCGCCATAGGAATGGGTAATTTCCACCAACTGGCTCAGGGCTGTAAGCAGATGACCACCAATGAATGGCCTCCGTGTGGCTCGTTTTGCGAGCAGAAAATCACTTTGACTTTTTGGGTGTTTTGGAAGCGGTTTCCTTTTGACGAGTAGATCATCACGGGATATTCTCTCGTCTGGCGGGGAGGAGGCAGCGGAGTGATTACTGGCGAAACATCGTCCACGAATTGTAAATGTTGTGGGTGTACTCTCCATCACAGCCGGTGTGCTGTACTCGTAACGAATTGACGTGTTTTCGTTCACGTGACAAACCTTACTAATTGGCTGTGTCGGGGGTAGTGGCGGCTTTAACGATGCAATAATATTCATGCGATCGAACCCAAGAAACCCTCTATTATTGACGATATCGGTCGCGAAAGCCTACTTAATGTTAAACTTGTTGAGCCATAACCATGTGTGCAGGGGTATTGCTCCATAATATCGGTTTTATTTGGGCTAGATGGCGTCAGAATAAATGTGTCGTTAAACCCGCCACCACCCGCCACAGCAAATTAGTAAGGTTTGACGATTTTTGACCCCCTCCCCCCTTCGTCACACGGCGTCACAAAAAGTCAGACCCCCCCTCAAATATGACGTCACAAAGCTCTGCCCCCCCCCCCCCCCAAAAAAATAGAACATGCTTCAAATCACTTTCAACTATTGTCATTGTAGTGCGTATTTAATGTGGCTCTGCACTCTGATGTTGTAGGAGAAAACATCAAAAAGTCAATTTAACTAAGTAGAACGTGTTGTCTATATTTATTAAAAGTTGCGCATTTTTACGTGACGTCACATTTCTCAACCCCCCCATCCCCCTCGTCACACATCGTCACAAATGTCTGACCCCCCCTAGGTGCGTGACGTCATTCATGGACGGCCCCTTATCGCATGACTGAATACAATGGCCTGAGCCGTCACAAGTGATGTGATGCACGCTCACGATGTTGCCTCGTGCACTCTGGGATGTCACCGCAGTGCACTAATCTCTGTGGCTGGCGTTCAGGATACTAAGCGGGAGCCCTTTGTACCACACCACAATTTTAGATTCCTTTGTTGTGATAACCTTTGTTTTGTTTATACCTTCAGCTTAAATACCGTTTCTTGGCCGCTTTATGAATTGTTGTCATTTCACGAGGGGTTTCATTTACTTACTAAAATGTTTCGTAAATAGAATGAAGCGCTTCTTGTGATTTTTGTTGCATGTTATTATTGTACATCGTTGAGATTCAATTCGCATTATTTAAAACTGAAACGGTTATTACTGCGTGTTATATAATGTTGGCGTGGAACTAGGACCCATATCTAAAATAGAAGGTCCTTCCCTCGAACATCTGACAGTTCGCCAGCATTGATTCAGACGAGCCTGACTCTGCCGATTGCTGATGAGAAACTGAATGTCAAATCCTGTCCAGATTTTGCTTTGTGTTAAACCTATCTTGCTGGAAAAAAACACACAAATCACTCCCATGAGGCTGTGTGGCCAATGAGACTTGTAACAAAATACTATTTGTGTTTATGTTGGGAAGGAGGCAAATTGGCTGCGTAGTTAATCAATTTAATTTTAGGTGACTGAATCCGGATTCAAACCGAGGTTATCTGTGGTACTGGCTTAGTGCATCGAACACGGCAATTAATAGCCCCCAGACCCTGGCCTTCACTTGAGAGATGGTGGCCTGGTGATGTTGACACGGCCATTATCAACCAAGTTCAGGACACGTGATCCACGGATCCCAGACGTGCTCTGACAGAGCTGTTATGAACCTATGGAGAGAGAGATCCAGACCTATGGCTTCAACACAGCGCCTCAATAGATGTCAGCTGAACACTAAACCGATAACACATATTCTTAGGTTTTTTCGGTAAAGTCACGTAAAATTTAAAATTAATAAAATTAATAAAAGTAAAATAACCAGTATATGTACAAGGACTGTTTTCTTGGAATCTCTCTCACTTGATACAGCTATCGCGCTGTGACGGTTCCACCTGAAGACGGAAGCTTTTGTTGCTTCCGAAACGTCGTGATTTTTATTTTTATTTTACTTTTATCATTTTATTTTTATCTACGTGACTTTACCGAAACAACCTAAGAATATGAATCCTTGCAGTCACGAAAGCTTCAAATCTAGAATCATAACACATACATTTCGAGCATCTTGCGAGACAGCCAGACCAATGGCTTGCACCCATCAGGTGAGAGATACTGGGTTCATTACCCTGGCACAGCTATTATGAATCTCTTCATAAAGACACCAGATGCAGGGCTTGAGTTAAGAGCCTCTGGCAGTGCTAGCTTAGTAATCTTAACGTGGCCAATATGAACCCCCTAAGAAGGAAACAGAGAGAGCGCGACAGAGCCACTCAGACCAGGACTCCAGATGTAACGGCTCATCAGCATTCTAATCCAAGCAGCCACAATCACGTGCTTACCAAAGTGTGAACACATTTCCGCAGACAGTCTCAAATCTGCTGTCGTTGCTGCCGTGTGTTTAACCTCAGAGAAGCACGTGGCTTCCGAATATGAAAGTTAAACGTCACAATGACAGCTGTGACGACGACGACAAACGACGACCACGTGGCCAACAATACAACGAGAAGAGAGACAGAGAGAGAGGCAGGCGGCTGGCTACATGAGCTTCACGATGATGTACATGAGCAGCAGGCAGATGAGGATGAGCGCGAAGTTGACGAACAGCTCCTGCATGTTCTTGGCGGCATGAGATCCGAAGTCACGCTTGTCCTTATCCATTGTGACGTCGTCTCAGCGGCAGTGTGTGCCACGTGCGTCTCGTATTGCTTCCTCCTCTTCCTATATCTTCTCCTCCGCGAGGTGTCTTCCACCAAGATTGGGTGTCCACTTGAGTGTGTCTGCGTCCTGATGTCTTGTGCAGAAGATGCCAGAAGATTTAAATGTATGATTTTTTTTTCTGCTGGATATGTCGTTTATTCCGGATTCTGGGGAGAGGTCATAATCATCATCATTCGTATTCCCACCATAACACTATAATCACCATCATCACCACTATCACAACCACCACCATCATCATCATTATTACAACTGCCATCATTAGTACTATTAAAAGATCTACCACCATCATCATTGTTGGCATCATCATCATAATTACCGTAAAAATATAATCACCACCATCATCATCATTGTCATTATCACTATCAAAACCATCATCATCATAATAACCATTATCACAACCACTATTATCATAATAACATCACAACCACTCTTTATCATAATCATCATTATCAGCATCATAATCAACACTATCACCATCAGCTGTAGTAGAATCATCACTATCATTGTCGTTACTATCAAAGAATATTTTAACTTCTTCACGTTTCCCACTGCCCTTAACGATGTCACCTCTGAGCGGTTTCAATGTCACTGTCCTTATCAGTAACCCGTGAACCCTTCAACCAATTCTATGGTGTGCCTTGGCGTTAGGGCTTTGATTGCATTGCTACTCATCAGTGAGGCGTGGCGCTTAAGTCAATGTCGTGTCGTGTATGTTGTGTTGTGTATCCTGTGTTGTTTATGTTGTGGGTGTTGTGTGGTGGGTGTTGTGTGTGTTCTGTGGTAAATGTTGTGTTGTGTTGTTTACGCTGTGTTGTGGGTGTTGTGAATGTCGTGTCGTCTTGCGTAGGTGCTCGCTAACAGCACTTGCCCCTACAGTTTGTTAAGGCTATACGGGGGATCTTTGTTCATCTTTGTTATGTTGTGTATGTTAGGTTGTGGCTGTTGTGTTGTGGATATTGTGTTGTGGGTGCGAGTGACTCTTAGCAATTATATTTTGAGCAAACTATCTAGAAATAAAATAAAATATGATTTATAATAAAATATGCAATATTTAATATTTTATTGTAAATATGTAACATTTCATTAATATAACAATTTCAATAATTATAGTAATTTTCACAGACACGCCTACCAGATGATAACCATTACTTAAAGAGAGGGTCCTTGCCTATAAACATCTGCCGGTTTTCCCATCATTGATTCAAGCAAACAACCTGACTGCTGATGAGATATCGAATGTCGAAACTGGTCCAGCGTTTTTTTTTCGTGCTTCTATTTGAACGAATGCAGCCGATGAGATACACTCGCAAAAGGTCGCTGTGCTGATGGGATGCGTAAAAAAATAATTACCGAATTACAAGACGCACAACCAATTTTAAAAATAGTGCGTATTAGTGCGTATTAAAACGGCAAAAGTAGCCGTGGGATATCCAGAGGCATGGGGTAACCAGATAACACGAGGGCACATTGCAATTAGCAAACATCTCTTATCTCGTAGCTGTCCACCAAGGCTGAGTGTCTGTGCCTGTGGCACACCGAGGGGGGTTCTGGGACTCCGTCACAGAGGCCTCAGTGACGTCACGCAGCGTCCAGTGCACTTACCACGTGTGCCCAAGTCAAATTTAAAGTTGTGTGTTTTTTTAATCATTGGCCAAAGTTTCAGAATCGAATGGCATGCACCAGACTGGGACACACACATTTTATTTTTCTACCTACGTCACTTTACCGAAAGAACCAAAGAGTATGGATTCCTGCAGTCACGAAAGCTTCAAAGCAAGATTCAAATCAAGATTGGGACACACAATATAAGCGTACAGCTTGACGATAACAGATGTGTGTGTGTGTGTATATACGTATGTGGGGAGCGATAGCATCGCGGTTAGCGGGCTGCACTACAAACCCGGCAACCCGAGTTCGACTCCGGCTCACGGCCAACACCAGTGACGATTATCTGAACCGTTCCTGGGCCTCTCAAGGACAAGTCAACTCAGCCTCAAATGAGCACCTGGTGTGGTGTGTGAACATCGCCATTGGGGAAACAAAGGCGGCCGGGCGTGGTGTTGGCCACCCACCCCATTGTGCGCTGTGCCGGCCTTTATACGTGCTCGCCAACAGCACTTGCCCCAAAAGTCTGTCAAGGCTACATGTCTTTATAAACAAAAATCCGAAAGGAATTGGCCAAAACACCACAATGCAGAGCCCTCCTGTGAACGAGTCTTGAGCCTCAATGATGCTTTTCCGAATGAATAAATAACACCTCCGCCCGCCCAACACCACCCCCCCATTAACAACATCAACCGCACGAACACAGACCTGGAGGCGCTTGTACCTTTTTCCCAGCAGGAATCCGTCAGCTGGAAGACTGCCAATGCCGAAGCCAGCTAAGAGCGGCAGAGTCTTTCTGAGCAAAGTAATTAGCGCCGACAGGCAGCAGCAGCAGCAGCAACAGCAGCAGCGACAGCAGCGACCGTTGCAACAGCGACGCCAACGCAATCGTTCCGCAGCAGAACCTCAGCAGAGTCGAGGGGGGGGGGGGGCATTCCTTCTGAGCAGCGCTCCCATCATTTAAACCTTTCTCGTGACCTTGGTGTGACCCCCCTCCAGCCCCTCCCTCCCTCCCCCCAGCCCCTCCCTCCATCCCAAACAAATCCCACCCGCCACCTCCCCACAGCTTCCCCGGCTCCCCACTCAGCTCTGAACACTCAGGTCCCCACGGTCACTCCTCCGCTCCACACAAACTCCCCCAGCGCTCGCTAAATGCGACCACGGGGTAAGTGTGGGCCACCGTGTGGCCTTCTGGGAGCCTGGGTCCGAGGTTGCACAGTCCCCCGGACCTACTGCGGGTTTTGCACATTTTCATTTGTTATTTATCTTAATTGTTTTGGCGGAATAGCAGCGAACTATTTCATAACCCACTCGTGTTCAATTGCCTATCGCACAATTCACTATTAATGGCCCGCATCATGAAATGGGAACGACCAACGTAATGACACCTCGCTCGGCAGGGATAAGTGGTGCATCTACCTATTCTTACCCAAAGTGTCCCACCTATAACACCAGGGTTTGTCCCGTGACCTTTGAAACTCGCTTTACGTGGTTTAAAAGTACACACTCTTAGCCGGGAAACATAGCGCCGTTGCGTGCTGAGATGTATTATCAACCTACTTGCTGTGCTTTCTGCGCGGACATGTTTTGTTCGTCGTTAATTGTGAGGAGTTGACCGACGCAGGCAAATGACGCGATGGGAAATGCGTCCGATCAGCACGACTGGCTACGTACGGTGCGAAAGAAGTTTAACCTCCGTACAAACATACTCTTTGGTTCTTTCGGTAAAGTCACGTAGGTATAAAATTAAATAAATCACGACGTTTCGATTGCAATACAAGCAATCATCATCAGGTAGTAAATGATAATGATCACTCAGGGGAAGCGATATTTAATTGACATTGAATTAAAATAAAATGTGGAACGTAAATGTGTACCTGGTGCGGTGTGTAAACATCTCAGCGAAGGAGACAAAGGCGGCCGGGCGTTGTGCTGGCCACCCACCCCCTCATGTGTGGTTCCGGCCTTCATAGGTGCTACTCGCTAACAGCACTTGCCCCAAGAGTCTGTTAAAGGCTATACGGGTGATTTTCGTTAGTCAGAACGTTACAACAACAAACAAAAGACCCGATAGGAATGCCACTTCTAGGAAAGTTACGCGAAATACTCCAAAAATATACAAATAAAACTAAACTATTTTGTTTTGCCAGGTAAAGCCCACTGAGCTATTAGCTTCTTTTTCAGAAAATAACTGGCCACAAATGAGAGCTCAACGAAGTAGATTATATGGAAATGCATAGCAGTGGTGAGAGTTGGTGAATCGCCCAGAGGAATGTCGAAAAATTCCCTTCCCGTACGCGTCGAGGAAGTTGCCATACCCAATGCATCGCCAGTGCAGCAAATGTGGAGCGACGCTCGCCTGTTCCATCTGTTTGGGATAGAGCGTTACCCTCTCGCACTGCGTGAGTTTTCTCCAGGCGCTCCGCTTTCCTCCCAGTGTAAACACTCGATCGTTGGCCCGACAACACCTTCATATGTAGAGGACCGCAGAGCTTGGAGGGGGAAATGTGGCACCTGGCTCACAGCCGGGCGCCGCGGTGGCTCTGAGATGTTAACTACCTCGCCTGGTATACAGGAGGTCGTGGGTACGATCCCGACCCTGACAACGCCTGTATATTTGGATTTTGCCTGTCTCTCTCTCTCTCCGTGGCCGCGTGGATTTTCTTCCGTGTCCTCTGGCTATTCCCTCCACTTTTATGAACGCACATTTTGAGTATTTAGCTGCTAAAAAAAATTTCCGCGTGACAAGCCACTTCGTTGAGCTATTATTTGGGGCCAGGTCGCTTCTGAAAAAGAGCTCAAGTATTTCGCTCAGTGGACCTTACCTGGTAAAATAAAACCAAAATAATTCTAGATTTGAAGCTTTCGTGACTGCAAGGATTCATAATCTTAGGTTTTTTCGGTAAAGTCACGTAGGTAAAAAATAAAAATTAATAAAAGTAAAATAAAAATAAAAATCACGACGTTTCGGAGGCAACACAAGCTTCCGTCTTCAGGTGTGACTGTTCCACCTGAAGACGGAAGCTTGTGTTGCCTCCGAAACGTCGTGATTTTTATTTTATTTTTATTTTACTTTTATTAATTGAAATTATTTTTACCTACGTGACTTTACCGAAAAAACCTAAGAATAAAAAAACAAAATAGTTACTAATTTTAGTTTTGAAAGCCATCAGCCTCACTTTGTAGGGCACGTCCCCGGCAGCCGCGTTGGTCTCTGGCCAACACACTCACACAGCCGCAGCGCTATGTCCTCGTCATTTCTCTCTCTCTGTGTCCCGTCTCTCTCTCTGTCCGTGGCGCAGCGTGACAAGGTGACACGAGACAAGCACCTGTTCACAGATAACCGCGGCGGCGTTTCCTTCTTCTTCTTCTCCTGTGTTTTGTTTAACGCGCCCGCCAACGTGTGTTTGGTTTGTTCTCTCCCCCGGGCGCTCAACGCTTTGCGTTACGCGAGCGTGAAGTCGGCACCAGCCCCGAGAGATATGTTCCACGCGCGTTGCCAGGCCAGGAACGGAGAGTGGGGGGCGTTGCTTTGGAACACGGGCAGCGAAATGCTCTTTGAGGCTGGAATTCGTGCGAGGGCTCAAGAGCACGCTGGGCGGCTATGATTAGAACGACATCACAACAACGCCTCCTCCTTGTCGCCCGACTCCGCACGGCCTCCACCCGGGGCAGCTCGAGGGCGAGCAGGGTGGTCGCGTGGTCGCGTGGCAGCGTGGCAGGGTGGTAGGGTGGCAGGGTGGTAGGGTGGCAGGGTGGTAGGGTGGCAGGGTGGCAGGGGGGTAGGGTGGCAGGGTGGCAGGGTGGTAGGGTGTCAGGGTGGCAGGGTGGCAAGGTGTCAGGGTGGCAGGGTGGTAGGGTGGTAGGGTGGTAGGGTGGTAGGGTGGCAGGGTGGCAGAGTGGTAGGGTGGCAGGGTGGTAGGGTGGCAGGGTGGCAGGGTGGTAGGGTGGAAGGGTGGTAGGGTGTCAGGGTGGCAGGGTGGTAGGGTGGCAGGGTGGCAGGGTGGTAGGGTGTCAGGGTGGCAGGGTGGTAGGGTGGTAGGGTGGTAGGGTGGCAGAGTGGTAGGGTGGTAGGGTGGTAGGGTGGTAGGGTGGCAGGGTGGCAGGGTGGTAGGGTGGCAGGGTGGTAGGGTGGTAGGGTGGCAGGGTGGTAGGGTGGAAGGGTGGTAGGGTGGTAGGGTGGCAGGGTGGTAGGATGGTAGGGTGGCAGGGTGGTAGGGTGGCAGAGTGGCAGGGTGGTAGGGTGGTAGAGTGGTAGGGTGGTAGAGTGGTAGGGTGGCAGGGTGGTAGGGTGGCAGGCTGGTAGGGTGGCAGGGTGGTAGGGTGGCAGGGTGGTAGAGTGGTAGGGTGGTAGGGTGGCAGGGTGGTAGGGTGGTAGAGTAGTAGGGTGGCAGGGTGGTAGGGTGGCAGGGTGGCAGGGTGGTAGGGTGGTAGGGTGGTAGAGTGGTAGGGTGGCAGGGTGGTAGAGTGGTAGGGTGGCAGGGTGGTAGGGTGGCAGGGTGGCAGGGTGGTAGGGTGGTAGAGTGGTAGGGTGGTAGGGTGGCAGGGTGGTAGGGTGGTAGGGTGGTAGGGTGGCAGAGTGGCAGGGTGGTAGGGTGGCAGGGTGGCAGGGTGGCAGGGTGGTAGGGTGGTAGGGTGGCAGGGTGGTAGGGTGGTAGGGTGGTAGGGTGGAAGGGTGGTAGGGTGGTAGGGTGGCAGGGTGGTAGGATGGTAGGGTGGCAGGGTGGTAGGGTGGCAGGGTGGTAGGGTGGCAGGGTGGCAGGGTAGTAGGGTGGTAGGGTGGCAGAGTGCCTGGCGTGATGTATAAACATCGCCACTCGGGATACAATGGCAGCCGGGTGTTGTGCTGTCCACCCACCCACCTCGTGCTGGCCTTCATAGGCGCCTGCCTACATCACTTGACCCAACAGTATGTTAAGGCTATACGGGGATCTTTGTCTTTGGTATGTTCTCCCTCTGTTCTGCACGGGTTTCCTCCGGGCTCTCCGTTGTCCTGTCATAGCCATACTTAATTGGGATCACACAGTAGTAGAAGCAGCAGCAGCAACATCGCCCCCTCCTGCAATAAGCCTGGCAGGATCCTCCTGAAAAAAAGTTTTGAGACTCGGTGATAATAGAAACAAATTATGATCAGCAGCATCATCACCATTTGCACCAGAAGAATCAGCAATCGCAGCAGCGTCATCATCAGCAGCTAGGATTGGCACCTCTAAGTTAGAGAAAACGTGGCTTAGTAAAATTAGAACCACTCAGTGGAACGTCAACAACGGATATCTCCGCATGTAAATAATAGTCCCTAGATTTGAAGCTTTCGTGACTGCAAGGATTCATACTCTTAGGCTTTTTCGGTAAAGTCACGTAGGTAAAAAATACAAATAAAATTAATAAAAGTAATAATAGTAATAAAATAATAAATCACGACGTTTCGGAGACAACACAAGTCTCCGTCATTAGGTGGGACTGTCACAGCTAAAATTACTGCATCATAATAGTCCCTGTCATGGGAATGTGGGATTTCTACATCTTGGAAAAAAAAGGCGCCGCCTCTCTGTGCATTCGATGAGTGAGACACTTTGAGTCGGTGCAATTTCAGTCCCCGTCTGTGGATGGACCGGTCTCTGCCACGAGAATGTGGAATTTCCACAACTTGAAAAGAAAATAAATTCCGACTCACTGCGCGTTTGAAGAGTGAGACACTTTGAGTCGGTCCACTCTTGAGTCCCCGTCTGTGGATGGACTGGTCTCTACCACGAGAATGTGGAATTTCCACAACTGGCTCGAGGTCACTAATGGAGGGGAGTGTCACACCACTGAAGGAGACGCTCCGGGCATTGCTGCTGCTGCGTTTTGTCCAATACACAATGCAACAAAGGCAAAGATCATCCGTATAGCCTCAACAAATGTTTGGGGCAAGTGCTGTTAGAAAAGCACCTATGAAGGCCGGCACGGCACACGGAGGGGTGGGTGGCCAGCACCACGCCCGACCGCCTTAGTCTCCCGAGTGGCAATGCTCACACATCGCATCAGGTACTCACTTGAGGCTGAGTCGACCTAGGGGAGGCCCCAGGACCGGTTCAGATCATCGTCACCGGTATACGACGTGAGCGGGCAATCGGGGCGCCGGGTTCGGAGCGCAGCGCGCTAACCGACCACAGACAGACAGAGACAACACATAATATAGGTTTTTGGGTCAGATCGCGTTATTTATAAATGTGTCGTAACCCTCCACCACCCGGCACGGCCACACAGTAAAAAATGTGTCACGTTTTCAAAGGACAAATTAATTGACTTCTTTAACCCACCGGTGTGCTGAAGAGAGAATCAACAGCATTTTAAAATGTGAGTTGATTCTCTTTTCAGCACACCGGTGGGCTAAAAGAAGTCAATTAATTTGTCCTTTCAAAACGTGACACATTTTTTACTGTTTGGCCGTGTCGGGTGGTGGAGGGTTACGACACATTTATAAATAACGCGATCTGACCCAAAAACCTATATTATGAATAATATTAGTCGCGAAAGCCTACGTGTTAAGTAGAGACAACACACACAGAGACACCCCCCCCCCCCCCCATGCACTACCGACTACAGCAGCAACAGCAGCAGCATTCCTCTGCGTGCGGAACGTGTCAGTGACATCCATAACGGGTCCTGGGCAGGGCTGTACGAAGGCATCCAGCATTAGCAGTGTTTATGGTTTGGCAGTAGAGTCGGGTTGGTGGGGCGGTGCAGGGCACTTTAAATACACGCGTGGACGTGGAGCAGGCCGCGGTTCAAGGGCGCGCAGATGACGAGCGGGTTAACCCGGGACGCGAAGCGCACAGGGGAGGGGTGTGGTATGGGGGGGGGTATGATAGAAGGGGTGATTTAGCGTGGGGGATATGATTGGGGGGGGGGGGGGGGCGGTATGATGGTAGGGGGGATGTGGGGTGGTATGGGGGGGGTGGTATGATGAGAGGTATGGTGTGGGTCGTAGATCCAGGCGAGATGGAGCTACCGTCCCATTGTGTGGATTAAAAGTGGTCCAATCACGATTACTGTGGTTTTGTTATTTTAACCACTTAATCCGTGGGTTTTATTTTACATAGTTTCTTGCATTAATGTAGTTTTTTAAAGCTGTCCTTGATTGTATTAATGTAGAATAAATGTAGACGGGTTTTTTTTATTTCACGCGGTATTTTTCTGCTTAATGTAGTTTTAAGCAGAGCTTTGTAAAGTATTCAGAAGCTATGAGTTTTAACGACATTGTATATACAAAGCGCCAAATAATCATTAGTCCTCGTTGTGGAGAATGTTAATAACGAAATTAACAAACTTAAATGTTTACAGATCCCATCAGCTATATGGCCTTCTGGGACGCAGCGTCGATTCAGTACAAGAGACATTTAGTGTCTGGCTTGCTTGCATCAATGCTGGTGAATTATCAGATGGTTAATCTAAAACTTTTTAAAAATAAAGTGAGAAACATTTTTTTATTTTACCAGGTAAGGCCCACTGAGCCATAGAGTTCTTTGTTAGAAGTGACCTGGCCACAAATGGTAGCCGAATGAAGGTGCTTTTTGCGTGGAGATTTACAGCAGCCAGAGTCTATAAACACACGTAGTAGATTACTGCCAAATGTGGAGGGGAAAAACTGGAGGACCCGGAGAAAAATCCACTCCGGGAGAGAGACACGCAAACTCCAAATATACAGCAGCAGGCGTCAGGGTCGGGATCGAACCCACGATCTCCTGCATACCAGGCGAGGTAGTTAACATCTCCTAGCCACTGTGATCATGATAAGAGAGAGACACGCAAACTCCAAATATACAACAGCAGGCGTCGGGGTCTGCATCGAACTCATGACCTCCTGCATACCAGGCGAGGTAGTTAACATCTCGCCACCACGGTATGTAGAACAGAGCCCTCTCTCTTCTTGGTTCTTTCGGTAAAGTCACGTAGAAGGGAAGTAATAAAATAAAACATAATAAAATAATTCTCACATTTCGGCCACAACGCAAGCAGCCGTCTTCAGGTGAAGAAGACGGCTATTGTGTTGTGGCCGAAACGTCGTGAGAATTATTTTATTTTTATTATTTTATTACTTCCCTTCTACGTGACTTTACCGAAAGAACCACGAAGATGAATCCCTGCAGTTACAAAAGCTTTAAATCGAAATTTAAGAGCCCTCTCTGTTCGATATGGGTCCGAGTTGAAAGCAAAACTCCAAAATAATCATAAAATAACTCCTATTCCTATAGTGATCTCCTCTATTCTCATGACATCACCGCGTGCTCTGTGCCTTTGAATATTTTTCGCTGTCTCTGACGTCACAGGACTGCTCTTTGTGACGTCACAACACTCTGTGCTCGTGTACTGCACACCGAGGGCGTAACGTGTTCTGATCTCTTTGCAACATCACGGACACGCTCTGCGAAATCTCACCAACACCCACCCCTCCCCCTTCGTCAGCAAGAATGTGCCAAGCCACTCAACAGGTTCCTTCGGCCGACACCAGAAATTCAGTTTCGGTCGACCTCTACTGTGACACTGCTTGGCCCACACGAGAGACGGCAGCCTTCTTCATGGCCTCGTCTCAACCACCAGTGTCAGACCGGAGAACAACGCCAAAAAGACGAACAGCACAACGCGGCAAGCGGCGCGTATAAGCGAGAACCTTTTTTTTTCTTTGTTATTGTTTTTATTTTATTTTTTTTACCCGGTAGTAACAACAACAAAAACCACATTTTATACCACCATAGGGAAACTCGCACGGACACTTCCACGCCGTTCACCGCCGCGACCCGAGGAATCATCGCGGGAAATGATCAAACGGAGGAAGGTATTGCACACACGTGGAAGGGAGAAACGTTAACAGGACACAGTGGTGCACAAGACAAGACTCGATGTATACCCGTGGCTCCAGAGCCTTCGGCAATGTCACAGAAATCCTAAGAATCCTTACGGGTGCCGTTTTTGTTGCCTAGGATGTTCGGCAAGAAAGCCCTCCCGAGTCTCGGGGACATTTCACCGAACTCCCGAACATCTTTTTGGGGTTCTTCAGACGTTACCCCCAAAACACATTTCTAAATTGTGGTAACGTGGCCTGGAAGAGCGTTAGAAAATGCCAAAAGGCACAACTGGGATGTGAGAGTGAAACAGAGAACTTAAAGTAAAACAATACATTTGTGTTTCGATGTAAAGCTTTCGTGACTGCAGGGATTCATCTTCTTGGTTCTTTCGGTAAAGTCACGTAGAATGGAAATAATAAAATAATAAAAATAAAACACAATAAAATAATTCTCACGACGTTTCGGCCACAACGCAAGCAGCCGTCCTCAGGCTTTACCGAAAGAACCAAGAAGATGAATACATTTGTGTTTAATCTTTTTTAAATCAGCAAAAAATCAGGAATCATGGGAAATGATGCTGCACGGCATTGAATGTACGCATGTAGATTGAACGCTGCTGCTCCTGCTGTGAATGTGCAGCAGCAGCAGCAGCAGAACTACGATGGTGATGTATGAATGTAGAACTTCTTTCACACCGTACGTATCCAACCGTGCTAATCGGAGGTGACTGTGAATTAAAGAGAGGAAGAGACCTTTGGCGCGAAGACTGAACCTTGAAGCCCTTTCCTCCCAACAACGTGGTAATCTATTTTACCGACCCTGGATTTGAGATGATGATGATGATGGACTGCATCAATACCCAGCGCTGGAGCCTGACCTGGCCCACTCTACAAGGGCGAGTGGCGAGCTATGACCGCAGCCAATCACGGGGCTGCAAATAGCCGAGCGGGGAGCAGAAAGTCGTCGCTGCTACGGCATCGCGAAATATGAACAGGGCTCGCAATCGGCGCTGGACATGCAAAATGCGTGACCGCGATCGGATTAACCAAGAGCTGGGAGGTTCGGTTAACCATCGCTCCACTGTCATTGCGTCACTAAGTTTCACGATTACTTTTCACAAATAACAGTGCGAAACAATTCGACGATTCGAATGGGGAAGTGATGGGAGTTAGCAGCTTGGGGGCTGAAGCAGCGAAGCATCGGCCCGACATTCGCGGATTGGAACCCCTTCACCCCAGCGGTCCGCGCTGTCGACTGCCCGCCCCCCTGTTCAAGTCCAGGCTTACAGCGGTCGTCTCTCTGCCCGTGACCGACTGCCTCTCTCCCTGCCTCTCAACTCAGCCTCACCATCCTCCGCGTGCAGCGCCTTCGCGATGCGGTCGCATGGTACCGACGACACGGGGCACGGAGCGGCAGGTCATTGCACGTCACGGTTATTTTCCCCGGGTTCAACGAATGGGCGCAACGCGAGTTCGTTTGAAGCGATCGTAAAAGTCACTGAAATGAAGCAGCTTGCGTGAAATCGCGAAATTCACGTAACTTCAAAAACAAAGTCCCGCGTATTTAAGATGTTTTGTCTGTTTTCCCTTCCCCCGCAAGAAGTCACCCCCCTCCTAACACTGCTCAGAGCAATGATAAATTAAAATCGTTCAACCTGCACCACGGAGGCCTCGGAACCCAGCCTCCTGCTTTGCGTGACCGTTGAGCGCAGCGTGAAAGGGTCGGACTTAGGCGGGCGAGACGCCCCCCCCACCCCCCGCCCCCCCCCACGATCCTGAGAACGGCGGGGATCCGAGGGCTTTGCCCCGACAACCCCCCTCCACCCCTCCCGCATCCCGGTCGCTCAATAGGCCATGAGCTTGCGGACTCCTTCGAAGCAGCGCCACTTGTCGGGGATGTAGAAGACCTCGTGGATGTGGGAGAAGGGCGTGTCGAAGCCACACACGCGGTGCACGGGCGCCTCCATGTTCAGGAAGCATTGCTCCTGCACACGGGCGCACACGCGCGCAGAGACACGCACGCACACACACGCACGCAGAGACACGCACACACATGCACGCAGAGACACGCACACGCAAGCAGAGACACGCACACGCACGCACACACACGCACGCAGAGACACGCACACACGCACGCACAGACACACAGGCACACGCACGCAGAGCCACGCACACGCACGCACACGCACGCAGAGACACGCACACGCACGCAGAGACACGCACACGCACGCAGAGACACATACGCGAGCAGAGACACGCACACGCACGCACGCACGCACAGACACATACGCGAGCAGAGACATGCACACACGCGCACCGACACGCACGTACACGCACGCAGAGCCACGCACACGCACGCACACGCACGCAGAGACACGCACACACATGCGCGCAGAGACACGCAATGACACGCGCACACACATACACACAAGCAGAGACACGCACATGCGCAGAGACGTGCACACGTACACGCGCAGACACACACACACACATGCGCAGACAAGCACACACACACGTTCACAAACGCAGACACGTACACACGTGCGCACGTGTACGCACGCACACACAAAGAAAAGACAAAGATCCCCCATATAGCATGAACAGACAGTTGGCGTAAGTGCTGGTAGCGAGTAGCACCTCTAATAGCCGGCACGGCACATGAAGGGGCGGATAGCCAGCTCCACGCCCGACTGCCTTTGTCTCCCTCGTGGCGATGATGACTACACTGCACCAGGTACTCATTTAAGACCGAGTCGACCTAGGGGAGGCCGAGGACCCGTTCAAATAATCGTCACCGGTGTTTGTGGCCGTGAGCGGGAATCGAACTCGGGTCGCTGGGTTCGTAGCGCAGCGCGCTGACCGCTGACTGCTACCGGCTCCCTCCGCACAGCAGCCGCCAGTCCGTGATGTCACCGCGCACGCTCGTGCCGCGTGTCTTCACGTTTTCCCCAGCGCTTCGTAAACAACCAGGGCGCTCAGTAAAACGACACGGGAGTTAATCTAGCATGAAGACAATTGGTCACCCTTGTTGAAAACGGAACTTTTAACTTCAACGTCCATCCTTGGGTGGTAGCAAACACACGACTTGCAGAATATTTATTTATAGTGGAGAAATCCGATGAGCTGTAAAGCTCTTTGTCACAGATGTTCAGACTCTGTGGTCCTCCATGAGAGTGGAGGGAGAATGGAGGGGGGAAGGAGAGGGGGGGGAGGTGGGGGTCGCCCCCCCACCCCAACCATCTCGTGCTGGCGGGAGCCGCCTAACTCGATACGGCGCCAAATATTCCAAAAGCGGCACAGACGGGCATCGGCGATAATTGTGCTTCCACAACAATAATTATGGCAAATCGCCTGATGGAGCCGGTTGCAATCACCCAGAGAAACGTCGTTGTCAAATTGTAAATGGCGTCGGTTTACTCTGCAACACACCGGTGTGCTGAAGCAGTAACCAATTGCCACGTTTTCTTGACGTGGCCAACCTTGACTAACTGGTTGTGTCGGGTGGAGGTGGGTTAACGACGAGCTTACGTTTACGCGATCTAACCCCCCGACAAAAAAACGTCTATTGTTTACAAATTCCCCATAAACGGAATGAGCGTGTCACGATCTCGCACGGCCTCGTGTGCAGCCCGCGTCGTCCCTTTGACCGCATCCTGCTGGGCCCAAGGGGACCACGTGCCACTTCCTCGTCAGCTACCAACGGCGCCCATTCCCCGGCCTCGTCCGCTCCCTCCGCCAAGGACTCCCCCGCCCCCCCCCCCTCCCAACGGCGACTTTCGCGTCTCTCGTCGATTGCTCGGCGGCCCGAGCGTGCGGCGGAGGGCACTGAAAGTGGGGCACCCGACTCGTCGCTCGCCGCCCGCGTTTCTTTCACTCTCAGCGTTAATCACGGTGAACGGCAGGCCGGGTCACTCAAGTGGGCTATGTCATGGCCGTTGTCGGACACACTGAGCCAGCAAAGATTGGGATCTTGGGTTTGAGCGCTGGGTCTGGGTGTCTCAGGCGGTTCACAATGTCCATGTCAGACACGCAAAGCCAGGACAACTCAGGTCCTGGGTTTGAGCCCTGGGTCTGGGTGTCTCTCTGTCTCTCAGGGGGTTCATAATGGCCGTGTCAGACACACTGAGCTAGCACAGCTGAGGACCTGGATTTGAGCCCTGGGTCTGGGTGTCTCTCTGTCTCTCAGGGGGTTCACAATGGCCGTGTCAGACACACTGAGCTAGGACAACTGAGGACCTGGGTTTGAGCCCTGGGTCTGGCTGTCTCTCTGTCTCTCAGGGGGTTCAAAAAGGCCGTGTCAGACACACTGAGCTAGTACAGCTGAGGACCTGTGTTTGAGCCCTGGGTCTGGGTTTCTGTCTGTCTCTCAGGGGGTTCAAAATGGCCGTGTCAGACACACTGCGCCCCCCAACAACTCCTCCTCATTCTCACCTCGTCACAACGACGCGACCACCACAGCAAGTGCTGGCTGCCGTACCGATCACTTGGGGACTCGTTAAGTATCTATACCAACTATGACAACATTTAGGTTACTTTAGGGATTCGGGGAGTTGGGGGGGACGGGACAAAGTTTTACGTTTTCGAAAACTATTTTGTTTCTAACCCAGTAAAATTCCTGTTCAGTAAGATCCACCTTCTGCTCGATAAAGCAGGTTTTTAATTAACACTATAGCGTTAATTATTAATAAGTAAGCCAGCACACACACCGATTCCATAGACAAAGATCCCCGTATAGCCTGAATAGACTGTAGGGGCAAGTGCTGTTAAGCGAGCACCTATGAAGGCCGGCACGGCACACGAGGGTGTGGGTGACCAACACCACGCCCGGCCGCCTTTGTCTCCCCAGTAGTGATGTTTACACACCGCACCAGGTACTAAGGCTGAGTCAACCTATGGGTGGGCGAGGCCTAGGAATGGTTCGGACGTCAGTCGCCACTGCTGCATCCCTAGGTAGGAATCGAATCCGGGTCGCCGGCCCTTGGCAGCGCAGTGAGCGAACCGCTGTGCCACCGTTCCCCCCGCACCACCGTTAGAAACGCCCGCCAACTCAGCGCATGCGAGCTAAAATAAAACACCGTGTTAACCCTTTTAAAATTAAAATAACACCGTTTCTGAACGAGGGTGATGTTAACGCGTGTGACTCGATCTCATTCACAGTTAACTTATTAACGGCGGATCGTGAGCTCACCCCCCACCTCCCCCCTCGCCCCCTCCAGCCCCTCCCCCCCCACAACTATCATCTCACTCCATGCACTCCACTACCTCTTCCACGCGTACATCCCTCCACTATCATCTACGCACTCCCCTACCTATCTCCTCTCATCTCAGCAGCGGTCATCCTACAGGGAGACGGGTCCCCACCACGGGAACGTGGAATGTCCGGTACAGGCTCAGGAAGGTCCGGTGGTGGGCTGTGGTCTGCGCGGTAGCTGCCGTCGATCGCGGTGCTGCTCTGCCACCTCGTGGCCACCACCAAGGTATGCGAAATTTCTTCCGTGTGTGTGTACGTGGAATATGAACATGTACGCGTGTAGAAATTCATGAACATGCATCTGGAACATCTGTGTGGAACTTTATACAATACAGGTTTCGCTCGCTCTATGCGGGTCCAGTTTCCGGTCCCGCGCTGTGGTCTATGGGTCTCTACGCAACTCCTGTGGATCTCTACGCAGCTCCGTGCGTGTCTGTGATCTCCCAGTGACTGCCGCCACTGTGACGGAGCTGCTCGTCTCAACGGGGGGGGGGGGGCCTTTGCCAGCTGACATAACGAAGCCCGAGTCTAGCGATGATGTCACCCACTCGTCACCGTGGAGGAACGCGGGGATGGCGTGGGGGGGGGAGGGGGGGCACGGGTGGCACCGCTCACCTGCACCGTGGTGGCGATCTCCGCCGCGAATCCGCTGGTGTACGGAGCCTCGTGCGCCACGAGAAGCCGGCCCGTCTTCACCACGGACTGCGGGGACACGCGGCGCGCCCTCACCACACCGTGCCGCCATCGCTACCGCTCTCTCGCTACCGTGAGGGCTGGCGAGCAGCATCTCTCAAAATCTCACTGCCGCCACCACCACCGCCGCCGCCGCCACCGCCAGGCTGGGGGTCTGGCCCTTGATCGCGACGTTTCACACGTGTCAAATGCACGGCGCTGTTGTTCAATCCACTGGCAGATGACGGCACCTCCCATGCCGATGCCGCTCGCGAGGCTGGTTTGACCATTTTGACCATACTTCACCACGCTGCCCAGTGCGTGTTGGTGACGGCAGGCAGGCGGGCGCGGCAGCGTAGCAGTCGAGCGCAACGGACTCTGCCACGCTGCTGCCAAGCACGCGGCCGACCAGCGGCAGCCTGCGGCAAGCGGTCCGTCCGCCGCGGTCACCCACCGCTTAGCTCGGTGCGTCCCCCCCCCTCCCCCCGTCTCAGCGAGGTCCCCTACCTTGCACACGGTGACCATGTCCCAGGGCAGGATGGTCTGCAGGTCGATGAGTTCACACGACACGCCGAGCTTCTCCTGGGCCAGGGCAGCCACCTCCCGCAGCACGTGCACCTGCACGACGACGCACGGGTCACCCTTGGGACTACGCGCTCACGCATGCACGCACGCGGCGCTGTGCTGAAGGCGGTGGCGGCGCGTCGTTCCGCGCGGGCGACTCGCCCACTTCTCCCGCTTCTCCCGCGCGCCCCGCTCACGCCGCTCACCTGCGTGCCCCAGCCGAGCAGCGTGATGTCGCTGCCCTCCTGCAGCACCTCGGCCTGGGACAGCGGCAGCTCGTAGTGCCCCACCGGCACCTGCTCCACTGCCCACGGCAACAACAACAACATTATCAAAGACAAAGACACAGATCCCATGTATAGGCAACGATCCCGCTGGCGGCTTGCTGCTGGGAAAAGGGGTACAAACGCCTGCAGGTCCCTGTTGGTACAGATGATGGTGGTGACGGAGCTGGTGATGGGGGGGGGGTGATGTTATTTATTCATTCAGAAAAGCCTCATTGAGCCTCAAGACTCGTTCTCAGGAGGGTCCCGCATTGTGGCGTTCGACCAATTCCTTTCGGAATTATTTATATATACAAAGACAAAAATCCCCCGGGTAGCCTTAACAGACTGTTGGGGCAAGTGCTGTTAGCGAGCACCTACGAAGGCCGGCAACGGCACACGAGGCGAGTGGGTGGGTGGTGAGCTCCAAGCCTGGCAAATCTTTGTCTCTCTAGCGGCGATGTTAATGCACACCGCACCTTTTCTTTAAAACGAATTTCTGGTATTTAGTTTGTTGCCCTTCACCCGCACCTCCGATGACACTCGGTCTACATGGCTTACAAGTACGGGGAGGGGGGTGGGGAGGGATGGGGGGCGTGGTAAGCCTCTGTGTCTCTCTCTCTCTCACTCTCCCGGGAGCCGGGCCACTCACCTGCGGCTCGGTACAGAACCTTCGGCTCAAAGAAGATGCACGGGTTCTGGTCGTTGATGCAGGATAGCAGCAGCCCCTTGGCTTGAATGGGCCCCCTCGGAATAACCACCTGTTGAAGACAAAGACAAAGATCCCCTGAATAGCCTTACCAGACTTTTGGGCCAATTACTGTTAGCGAGTAGCACCTATTAATGCAGGCAGGGCACACGAGGGGGTGGTTGGCCAGCACCACACCCCGCCACCTTTGTCTTCCTAGTGCCGATGTTTTACACACCGCATCGGGTCCTCGTATGAGGCCGAGTCAACCTAGGGCAGGCCCGTGACCGGTTTGGATAATCGTCACTGGTGTTGGCCGTGAGCGGGATTCGAACTGCTGCTGCTGCAAAACAAACAAAACAAGCACGCAGACATCGTCACATAACACACGTAGCTGGGTGGGTATGTTGGTAGCAGAGTGCGGAGTTATCTGGGTATGTATCAAAGTGAACATGTAGCCGAGGAATCCGAGAGCAGGATCGGCAACTGAGAGGGTGTGCAGCCTCGTGGACGTGTAGCTGAGAGGGCAGCTGAGAGGGCAGTCGACTGGGTAGGCGTGTAACTGAGAGGGCAGCCGAGTGGGCATGTAGCTGAGAGGGCAGCCGAGTGGGCGTGTAGCTGAGAGGGCAGCTGAGTGGGTGTGCATCCCAGAGGATAGGCTGGCGTGCAGGTGGGCGAGCAGCCGAGAGGGTAGCCGAGTGGGTGTGTAGCTGGGAGGGCAGCCGAGTGGGTGCATCGCTGAGAGGGTAGCCGAGTGGGTAGGCGGGTGGGTGTGCATGCAGCCAAGTGGGCGTGTAGCTGAGAGGGCAGCCGAGTGGGTGTGCATCCCAGAGGATAGGCTGGCGTGCAGGTGGGCATGCAGCTGAGAGGGTAGCCGAGTGGGTGTGTCTCTGAGAGGGTAGCCGAGTGGGTAGGCGGGTGGGTGGTCATGCAGCCAAGTGGGCGTGGAATCGAGAGGGTAGCCGAGTGGGTGTGTCGCTGGAAGGGCAGCCGAGTTGGTATGCATCCGAGAGGGTAGGCTGGGGTGCAGGTGGGGGTACAGCCGAGAGGGTAGGCGAGTGGGTGTGTAGCTGAGAGGGTAGTCAGTGGGTAGGCATGCGGGTGGGCATGTAGCCAAGTGGGCGTGCAGCTGAGAGGGCATGCAGCCGAGAGGGTAGCCGAGTGGGCATGTAGCTGAGAGGGTCGCCGAGTGGGTAGGCGTGCGGGTGGCCATGTACCCAAGTGGGTGTGCAGCTGAGAGGGTAGCCGAGTGGGTGTGTAGCTGAGAGGGTAGCCGAGTGGGTGTGTAGTTGAGAGGGTAGCCGAGTGGGTGTGTAGCTGAGAGGTTAGTCAGTGGGTAGGCGTACGGGTGGGCATGTACGCAAGTGTGCGTGCAGACGAGAGGCCGTGCAGCCGAGTGCACGTGTAGCTGAGAGGGCAGCCGAGTGGATAGGTGTGCGGGTGGGCGTGCGGGCGACCTTGATCCCGGGCACGTGAGCGAAGAAGGCCTCGGGGCTCTGCGAGTGGTAGAGCGCGCCGTGGCCCACGCACCCCCACGGCGCACGCACCGTGAGCCCCCCGCAGTTGAACATGTTCCCCGAGCGGTAGCGGTACTTGGCGGCCTCGTTCACGATCTTCGGCGGGGGGTGCGGGGAGGGCGGGGGGTAAATCAATCATCGCCGTCGTCGTCGTCATCATCGCTCACATCCCTCTCAACACCCGCCGTCATCCGTTTACATCGTCGCCAATCGGAGGCAGGCGGATTGTTGCATCGCGTGACCGTGAGAGATGTTCCCCAACTCCGGCAGGCTCCCATTCATCTCATGGGGGTTGTCAAGGGGCCCCAACTCGTAGCTTTGGCCACCAGGCCTGCCCCCACGCTCGTTACGCTACTGGCCGGATCCCGTGCATGCGCCACCACCACGACAACCCCCCCCCCCCCCCATATAGCCTTAACAGACTGTTGGGACAAGTGCTGTTAGCGAGCAGCGCCTATGAAGGCCGGCACGGCAAACGACGGAGTGGGTGGCCGACACCACGCTCGGCCACCTACCGCAACAACAACCACCATTCGCCACGAACACACGCGCGCACACAAATGCTGCGAGAGCCGTGCCCATGCTCGCCTGGTCAAACGCCGGGTAGATGTAGTCGGCAAACTGGATTTCGGCGATGGCGGTAGCTCCGGTGACGGCCATGCCGATGGCGAAGCCCACGATGCCTTGCTCACACAGCGGCGTGTTGAAGACGCGGTCCTTGCCTGCAAAGCGCCGCGAAGACTTCATACAAAATATATAAACTCTTTAATTGAAATAGACTCAACGTATCGCTCAGTGACACCGTGTTTGTGGCTTTGGAAGAAGAAATCTTCATATAAGAGGCGACGTTTCGGGCAATGGCCCTATTTCGGAGCACGTGATTTTGTTTCTATGTGTTATGAAGAAGGGCCATTGGCCGAAACGTCATCTATTTATATATCGTTTTCATCATTTAAGGCCACACAGTGTTATTGAGGAACGTGTTGTGTTCAACAGTCGGCTGGACCACGTCACGGCCGATTTCTGTCGCTCGGCTGGTGCTCTTGTTAGCTGTGCTTGTGCACCACTGCCAACGCAGGAGCGCCGAATATGTATTTCTGTATCGAAATATTCCACCTGGAGGATCTCTTGAGCGGGAGCGTCTAAGTGATGACGCGCGTACGACTCCAAGAGTGGTGGGGCGGGATCAGGGTTTTAGGCGGGGTTGAGGGCGGGGTCAGGGTCGAGGGTGGGGTTGGGGGTGGGGTCGAGGGCGGAGTCAGGGTTGAGGGTGGGGTCGAGGGTGGGGTTGTGAGTGTAGTCGAGGGTGGGGTCGGGGTTGGGGTCGAGGGCGGGGTCAGTGTTGGGGGTGGGTCGAGGGTGGGGTCGGGGTTAGGGGTGGGGTTGGCCGTGTGGTCGAGGGTGGGGTCGAGGGCAGGGTCAGGGTTGAGGGCGGGGTCGAGGGCAGGGTCAGGGTCGAGGGTGGGGTCAGGGTTGGAGGCGGGGTCGAGGGCAGCTGCGGAGTTGGGGGCGGGGCCAAACCCTCACCGTATTTGTCGAGAAGCCCGACTGTGCAGCGGAACACTCCTCCAAACGAGACGTCCTCTCCAAACACCACTAGGAGCACGGACAAAGACAAAGATCCCCCGCATCGTCTGAACAGAATCTTGGCAAAAGTGCTGTTGGCCAGTAGCACCTATGAAGGCCAACACGGCACACGAAGGGGGTGGGTGGCCAGCACCGCGCCCGGCAGCCTTCGTCTCCCGAGTAGTGATGATGTTCACACACCGCACCAGGTACTCATTTAAGGCTGAGTCGATCTAGGGGGGCTTGGGAGCAATTCAGCTAATCGCCACTGGTGTTGGCCGTGAGCGGGAATCGCTGGGCTCGTAGTGCAGCCCTCTGCCACCGTTCTCCCACGACATGAGACAAAAGTTGCATGGCAAATGGTATTTATGGTTTAACATAACTCCCAAAATCCACAGAAATAGGTTCGCAAACCTACTTGCCGCAGTGGCATCTCGTGGCTGCGAGGGGGTGCGCCACCAGCAAGCCCAGGGCTGCACAACCCCACCTGAAACCTACTTGCTGCACTGCACCGCTGCGGAGTGCTTACCGGCAGATGCATCGTTGGCAAGAGAGTCATCGATGGCACTGTTTATGGATTGGAAAAGATTCATCTTCTGAGTTTCTCCTGCAAAACAGAGAGGTACATAAAGTGAGAGACACAGGTGGCAAGGAATGCATGGTGCCATCACATCACAGTTGTTCCGCGCCAGCGTGTGGGTTTCGCAGTGGCGAGATGTTAACTCCCTCGCCTAGTATACAGGAGGTCGTGGGTTAGATCCTTACCCCGAAGCCTGTATATTTGGAGTTCGCATGTCTCTTCCCCCATGGTTGCGTAGATTTTTCTCCGGGTTCTCCGGGTTTTTCCTCCACATTTGTAAACGTGCGTTTAGAGTATTTGGCTGCTATAAACTTCCACGTGACAAGCCACTTCGTTGAGCCATCATTTGTTATCGCCAGGTCACTTCTAAAAAAGAGCTATATAGCTCAGCGGGTCTTAGCTGGTAAAATAAAAAATAGATTGGTTTAGTTTTGTAGTATATACATCATCCTGCCCTCTGCTCCGATCGAGCAGAGAGCATCTGGTAAAGGAAAAAAGGGGCGGCCGTAGCTGCTGGAAATGTTTACACAGAGAAGCGAACCTTTGGCTGGCAGCGATGGAAACAAACAAGGCACGCGGTCAATTTGTCCCGTCAAGGTCAGCAGCCCATCGTGAAATGCAGCAGAAAAATAAAAATACCACGGTGGCGGTTTCACATAGTTGGACTGCACGGTTCGTACAAATTAAAGACACCAGCAACCGTTAGCATGATCTCGAAGAGGATGTTTACTGGGGCAACCAATTAGCGCCGTGATGCAGATACAAATCGTATACGAATAGGTTTTACCCTTTTTGCCAATGAAACAGAGACTATAATGCTCTGATACGTGCATCGCCTTTAAACTGTTCGCATTTTTGCGTTCTCTGGTCTGACACTGGTTGAGACTAGGCCCGAAAGAAGGCTGTCTCTGGTGTGGACCAATCAGTTTCAAAGGCAATGCCATCATATACTACCAGAGCATGTTTTTGGTTTGCAAGTTCACCACAAAAGTAAGTTTGGTTAATACAGACATGATTCCTTGCAAAATGTTTCTGTTTGGTGTTTGAACATCTTAACACAGCTGTTTTATTGCCAGAAAGGGTAAAACCTATTCTTATAATTGGCTTTGTTCACCTTTTCTGATACGGGAGAAACGCTCGCGAAATATCGTACTCAAAACTGACTTTTTCACCGATGCTGGGACAGTGATGGGGCGAACGATTTAATTATTTTTCCAAACCAGTGGCCTACTCCATAAACCAGCCATGTTTACTAAAACTATAATTACCTTCAAAATGACACCCACGTGTATTATTTAGGATGTATTTCTTCATTGTAGTTGACCGTGACGTTAGCTCGCTTGTGCACATGCCGACAGAGGGGCACATTTCACGAGCCACGCGCACGTGACGTGACCGTCCATCCATTCCTCCCAGCCAGCCAGCAAAACTTGTATCCTTAAATACAGTGCAGCAGCAGCAGCAACTGCAGCAGCAGCAGCAACTGCAGCAGCAGCAGCAACTGCAGCAGCAGAAACTGCAGCAGCAGCAGCAACTGCTGCAGCAGCAGTAACTGCAGCTCCCTTTGATGCTGTTAATCCTGCATAATGCACATGCATATGCAGTACTAATTACATTCCTGCATTTCCCATAAATATGCTAAATTCCTGTTGATATGCAAATTCCTTTGTCAATGCGCCCAGCTTATATATATGCTCCAAGCTCGTGTGCTGTTTCATTCAGACTCTGTCGCCTCGACGGACCTGGTTTTCACCTGAGGACGGCTGCTTGCGTTGTGGCCGAAACGTCGTGAGAATTGTTTTATTATGTTTTATTTTTATTATTTTATTACTTCCCTTCTACGTGACTTTACCGAAAGAACCAAGAAGATGAATCCCTGCAGTCACGAAAGCTTTAAATCGAAAAATACAGCCCTGTCTCTCTCCACCTTCCTCTTGCCTTCTCTGTACCGTATAACACAACGTATGTCGATGTCTCGCTCTGTCCGTTTCTCAATTCCTCTCTCCGCTGCACCTCACCCATTTCCCCTCGCCCGATCTCCCGAAAACGGTGCTCTTGAATGCAAAGCCCGCGGGCCACTGACGGTCCCTGGGTTGGCCTTTAGTGCGGCCCCATGACGCACTCCATTATCGTGCTGCTGTCAAAACCCCCTAATGGTTTAACATCTGTGGCAGGCCCTCACACTGACGACGCCTATCCTGTCAACCCCTTATCAGTGCCCTACCTTATTACAGACCAATTCAGGCCTTACTGGTCACCCCGTGCCCCTTATAAATCTCAACGTTCATCCTATAAAGTCCCATCACAAGGGAGAAACACAAAGACATTTTTTGGCACGTATTTAAACGGCTGTATGCCGTACGCACCTGAAAACTCAATTCCCCTGTACAAGAATCCAGTGTTAAATAAAGTGTATGAGTTCAGGGATATGGATGATGTCTTATTGGCGAAAGTGTGCCCCCCCCCCCCCCCATCGAAAAATGAGTGAAGAACACTGGGATACAGTGCCTGATTAAGCTAGTGCGGGGCCTGCAGAATATGTTATAAAAGGGACCTAAATAAAAAAAAACACAAATAAATATTCAAGCACAATTATTTTACTTGCATAGTAAAATAATTGTATTTATTCATTTGCTATACAGCCATTTAATACGACAAATCGATAACCTTAAACGCCCAGTCGTTCATAAAAATTGAAGGCAGTATAGTACTATAGTAATAGAGCAAGTGCAGAATCACTGAACCGAAATTGATAGCTTGAAGGCATTTAGCGCGGGGCCCTTGAAAGTGCGGGCCCCGTAGCTACATATTTGTTACTTTTGCTACTGGGATAATCCGGCACTGCTGTCTGTGACAGTGTCGCTTACATCAGCGTCGGTACCAGATTCTGATCCGTCTCATCGCCTATCGACTTGAAGCGTTTTGACGCCGCGAAGGTTACGTGACGTCAAAACGCCCCCAACCACCACCCCCCCGCGCGCAATTAAAAACATCCCGATGACGTCACAACGCACCTGTCAACCCGTGCCGCGCCGTGACGTCACGCACCCCCCCTCACGCACCTCCCCCCCACGCACCTCCCCCCCACGCACCCCCCCCCACGCACCCTCCCCACGCACCCTCCCCCCACGCACCCCCCCACGCACCCCCCCCACGCACCCTCCCCTTTCGAGTCGAAGGAGAGTTGCGGGGTGCGTGGGTGGGGGGTGCGTGGGGGGGAGGGTGCGTGGGGGGGGTGCGTGGGGAGGGTGCGTGGGGGGGGGGGTGCGTGGGGGGGTGCGTGGGGGGGTACGTGGGGGGGTGCGTGGGGGGGGGTGCGTGGGTGGGGGGTGCGTGGGGGGGAGGGTGCGTGGGGAGGGTGCGTGGGGGGGGTGCGTGGGGGGGTGCGTGGGGGGGAGGGTGCGTGGGGAGGGTGCGTGGGGGGGTGCGTGGGGGGGTGCGTGGGGGGAGGGTGCGTGGGGAGGGTGCGTGGGGGGGGGTGCGTGGGGGGGAGGTGCGTGAGGGGGGGGTGCGTGGGAGGGGGGTGCGTGGGAGGGGGTGCGTGGGGGGTACGTGGGGGGGTGCGTGGGGGGGGGTGCGTGGGGGGGGGTGCGTGGGGGGGGTGCGTGGGGGGGGTACGTGGGGGGGGAGTGCGTGGGGGGAGGGTGCGCGTGGGGGGGGTTCGTGGGGGGGGTGCAGCAACAACAGGCGGCCAGCCCGCGTTTGCTCCACAGCGCAGCAGCGAGACGCGGCACCGAGACACCCCCGAACCCGCCGTGCGCTCACCGTACTGCGTGGGCGCAGGGTCCGCCACGAACGTGAAGTGAGCGGCGCCTCTGCGCGACCCGCACGATGCCGAGACGGCAGCAGCGGCGGCGGCTCCGCGGCGCGCAGCCCCGCAGAGACTCCCCGATGACCGCAACGCGAGCGCCAGAGCCGCCATCGTTTCGCGACTCTCCTCTGCCGCGTCGATTTTATGAATGACCCCCTCTCGTCGATTCCTTCGTTGCCACGCCAGCGAGGGGAGGGAGGGATCGATCCACGATTACGAGGCTCGAATCCGCTGGGATCGATTTGGTCTTCCGGGGTAGATGTGGGTGCGTTTTATTTGATTGGTCGTCGTGCCACGCGTTCTGGAAGAGGTGCTCGCGCTCACCGATGGAATCTTTCTCGCGGAGGAATCCGATGAGCGGTGAAGCTCTTTTTGACACATCATGTCCACTAAGGGGCGGTATCAGAAACTTAGAACAAACGATGCAAAACACACGATATGCAGTGCAAAGGTAAATAAAGCATCCACAAACTCTTAGTTCTTTCGGTTAAGTCACGTAGGTAAAAAATGAAATTAAAATTAATAAAAATGAAATAAAAATCACGACGTTTCGGAGGCAACACAAGTCTCCGTCATCAGGTGGAACCGTCACAGCCAGATTTGCTGCATTAAGTGAGGCAGGGATTCAAGATGCAAGCTCTTAAATACAAGTTAAGGGGGAGGAGAGGGGGGGGGGGGCTTATCAGGTTTTTTGGGGTTAGATCAAATTTAAAAACAAATTAAGCTAAATTATGTTTTTCTTAGCAGGTAAAGCTGACTGAGCTATTAACTTGTTTTTCAGAAGCGACCTGGCCTCATATGATAGTTCACCAAAGTGGCTTAAAATCTGGAAATGTACAGCAGCAGAATCTATTTATCCTGGAGGAATCGGATTGGCTGTAAAGATATTTTTTCACACACGCAACACCATTTATATATTCTTTTTACTTCAATTAATGTACGTTTTCGTAGCTAGTGCAATAAACCAAACTTGTGGGTTAGACCACGTGGTACTTTAATGGTCAAAATTAGTATCATCTAACCCCTCCACCACCCGACAAAGATGTAATTTATAAGCGCCGAGGTATTGATCAAATTCAGGCAAGGTAGGTGCTGTATTAGGGAGTAAGTAGCCTTGATACGTGGTAGATTGATTTTTATTCGGAAGCTATTGGAGCTATGCACTTTTAAATCTCAATTGAAAACTCATTCTTTTAAAACTGCGTTTTGTGTTGAGTTTGTTGTCCTTTCCCCGCACCTCCGATTCGCACGGTTGGCTCCGTACGGTGCGAAAGAAGTTCAACGTGCTTACAGCCCATCAGCACTTCGGGGGTCGATAAAACGACTACCACTTTGTGGGTGAGTCAACAGTAATGGTCTAATAGCTGTCAACCTGATGAAGCTAGTTGTAATTACTGGTGAAACGTCGTTCTCAGATTGTAAATGTTGTGGATTTGCTCTCCCAACACACCGGTGTGCTGTACTAGTGACGAATTGGCCACGTTCTGTTTACGTGACAGCCCTTACTAGTTGGCTGTGTCGGGTGGTGGCGGGTTTAACGACACATTTATATATTTACGCGATCTAACCCCACAAAAAACCCTCTATTATGGAAGATATTGCGCGTAAACCTTGATTAAAGCTTTCGTGACTGCAGGGTTACATATTCTATGGGTCTTTCGCTAAAACCACGAAGATAGAAAAATAATAAATAAAAATATCACGACGTTTCGATCGCAACACAAGCAATCGTCTTCAGGTGATATTTTTTTAAATTATTTTTCTACCTACGTGTTAAACTCAATGTTGTTTAAATATGGTCCAATTAATATATTAGCCTCCTGCCAGAGGAATGTGGGATTCTAGATTTGAAGCTTTCGTGACTGCAATGATTCATACTCTTAGGTTTTTTCGGTAAAGTCACGTAGGTAAAAATAGATAATAAAAATAAATAATAAATTAATAATATAAATAAAACGTGGAATTTTTACCTATCAGGGCTATAAACGTGAGCTGGTCACGACCTTGAACGCTCATTTGGAGCATTACAAACAACAACAGCAAAATCATCTTTAAACAGAATGCGTTGCGCGCGCACACATTTCAGTATTACTTCCAGAAGGCGTCGTGGTGTAGTCGACCGAGTTGTGGTGCAACTTTCACCACCCCCCGAAACTTCACCGGCGCCAGCCAATGGCAGGCGTCCTAGCGCCGAGCCCCCGACACACCCCCCACACCACCCCCCAGCTCGCATTGTATTCCCCAGCGCGCACGGACACACGCGCATTTACATTTCACACATCGCATAGGCTGCTTCACGGAACGAAAGCCAAAGGGGCTTTCGGTGCCCTGTTTGATCGATAACGCACAAATGTGGTCTCGCATGCAAAGACAAAGGTGCCCCCGTGTAGCCTTTAACGGACAGTTGGGGCAAGTGCTGTGAGCGAGCACCTATGAAGGCTGGCAGGGATGGTGTGAATAGCAACCCCGCCCGGACGCCTTTGTCTCCCCAAGTACTGCTGTTTACACGCCGTGCCAGGTACTCATTTGAGACTGAGTCGACCTAGGGGGGTGGGGTGAGGTGTCATCAGAGCCACTGATGTTGGCCGTGAGCGGGAACTGAACTCGGGCCCCTGGCTTCGTAGCGAAATGCGTTCGTTAACCACTGCGCCACCGCTCCCCAAACAGAGGGAGGTGGTGGGAGGGACAGGGTTAGTGCGTCTTGCAAGACGGAGAAAGCTTTGTGTGTACTGTATGTGGTGCATGTAGAACTTGTTTTGCACCGTACGTAGGTAACCGTGCTCGCCGGAGGTTATTCGTTCCACAGGTGCTAGTTGTTTTTCTTGCCGACCCATGACCATGGGAGTCCAGTTTACCATGGGAGTCCAGTATACCATGGTAGTCCAGTTTACCATGGAAGTCCAGTTTACCATGGGAGTCCAGTTTACCATGGGAGTCCTGTTTATCATGGTAGTCCAGTTTACCATGGGAGTCCTGTTTACCATGGGAGTCCAGTTTACCATGGGAGTCCAGTTTACCATGGAAGTCAAGTTTACCATGGTAGTCCAGTTTACCATGGGAGTCCGGTTTACCATGGAAGTCCGGTTTACCATGGTAGTCCAGTTTACCATGGGAGTCCGGTTTACCATGGTAGTCCAGTTTACCATGGGAGTCCGGTTTACCATGGAAGTCCGGTTTACCATGGGAGTCCAGTTTACCATGGAAGTCCAGTTTACCATGGGAGTCCAGTTTACCATGGAAGTCCAGTTTACCATGGGAGTCCAGTTTACCATGGAAGTCCAGTTTACCATGGGAGTCCAGTTTACCATGGAAGTCCGGTTTAGCATGGGAGTCCAGTTTACCATGGGAGTAGCGATAGGGGTTGGGGTAGTAAGAGGGTAGGGATAGGGGTAGTGATAGGGGTAGTGATAGGGGTAGTGATAAGGGTAGGGATAGGGGTAGTGATAGGGGTAGTGATAGGGGTAGTGATAAGGGTAGTGATAGGGGTAGTGATAAGGGTAGGGATAGGGGTAGTGATAGGGGTAGTGATAAGGGTAGGGATAGGGGTAGTGATAGGGGTAGTGATAGGGGTTGGGGTAGTGAGAGGGTAGGGATAGTGATGGGGGAGGGGTAGTGAAAGGGGTAGTGATAGGGGTAGTGATAGGGGTTGGAGTAGTTATAGGGGTAGTGATAGGGGTTGGGGTAGTGATAGGGTAGTGATAGGGGTTGGGGTAGTGATAGGGGTTGGGGTAGTGATAGGGGTAGTGATAGGGGTTGGGGTAGTGATAGGGGTTGGGGTAGTGATAGGGGTTGGGGTAGTGACAGGGGTTGGGGTAATGATAGGGGTAGTGATAGGGGTAGGGATAGGGGTAGTGATAGGGGTTGGGGTAGTGATAGGGGTTGGGGTAGTGATAGGGGTTGGGGTAGTGACAGGGGCTGGGGTAGTGATAGGGGTAGTGATAGTGATAGGGGTAGTGATAGGGGTGGGGGTAGTTATAAGGGTAGTGATAGGGGTTGGGGTAGTGATAGTGGTTGGGGTAGTGATAGGGGTTGGGGTAGTGATAGGGGTAGTGATAGGGGTTGGGGTAGTGATCGGGGTTGGGGTAGTGATAGGGGTTGGGGTAGTGACAGGGGTTGGGGTAGGCCTGGTTGTAGCTGGGGGATGGGACAGGCAGTATCAGCAGCAGGATGATTATGGGCTTGGGGAGAAGTGATAGTTGTCAGGGAGGAACGGAAGCCGGTTTGTGATGATGTTTGTTTTCCACCGATTATATTTGGCCAACAATAATGCATTATTTGCATTTATATGGCGCTTTAATACCAACATTGTATCAAAGCGCCCCTACACACAATCACATCTCATGCGATTGTATAGGGATTACTACTCCCAGTGGCGGTCATCCCTGTTCCACGTATGTATGTATCCATAATCAATGTATATGTACGTTGAACTTCATTCGTACTCAGTAACGTTTTTACTGAGCAGGTGGCCGATATAGTCTGCCAGCGGTTAAGCAACGACTGTGGTGTGAAATCACAATTTAGTAAAATTGCCGGTAATTTAGTTTCGTCATTCGGATATGTTTGGCCAATACCAGCTCCATTGTGTAACTGTTGTTGTTATGTAACTATGGGAGGAAACCCATGCAGAACTGGGAGAGAGAGAGAGGACATTACAAACTCCACACGGGAAGGCGGCCGAATCTGGGAATCGAACAGAGGGCTTTCTTGCTGCAAGGCACAGGTGTTAAACCACTGTGCCACCACCACCACCCTGCCACGCACTACGTTAGGATGTTTCCCTCTGTAATGAGTGTCTGTCTGGCTTCGTGTGTGTGTGTGAGAGAGGGAGACCGGGGTGGGAAGGGGGGTGTACACGGCACAAACCCAACTTACGCACCGCATCAACTTTATCCTTCGACCGTCAAACCAACCATATCATCAGTTCATGTAACTTTTACCTGAAGGCTCTCAGACACCTACGTCCTCTCAACTCCACTGAAATTGCCAACACATTGGCATGTTGCATTGTTGGGTCTCGCCTTGACTATTGCAACTCCGTCCTAGTCCGGACCTCCGCTGGCAACCTAAAGAAACTTCAAAGACTACAAAACAACCTCCTAGCACGCGTCGTCATTGGCCACACTCATCCCCGTCTCGACTCACTAGCT